TGACTACTGTGTGCCATTAGGCGTGGTTTCAACTTCTCTGCCTCGCTTTCTCCATCTTTTATGTATTGGCAGAAGATCATATTTTGCTAGGGCCCCAATGATTTTTTTAATCTATAAAATGCCAAGGTCTTTGAAAAAATGCTAGCTATCTCAGGATTTATCACTAGTGTTAATTATAGCAGCCAGTCCTGTTCTTTGTTTACTTTTTTCCCTTGGGGTACAGGAGCAATATGTGGTTTGGGAGGGAGCTTAGAGGATGGGGGAGATTGTCAGTGACAAAGAAGCATAACAAATTTAAAATGACAACTGAGTGGCAGGCAGGGAGCAGAGTCAGTGACCTATTCAGGAAGAGAATGGAGTCTTAGGTCTAATTCGTGGCCAGTGATAAAACTATGACTTATTCTCTTCTTAAAACAGTGTGCCTCAAGCATGGCCAGAGTCGTGCGTGAGTTCCTGGTACTGGTACTCCTTTCTGTATCTTTGGCACGCTTCTGAAGTTAACCTCAAAGTACCCCTAGCCCAACTCTGTCCCACCCACAGGATGTTAACTGCCTTCCAGAACTCCCATATGAAAGGAAAACCATGTGACAGTAATTGCATTCTAGAATGTTTTCTGTTGTTGGGACTCAAGCATTACGTGTGGTATTGAGAGAAGAATCTAAGACTGAAGAGGGGAGAGATGTGGATTCAAGTCCTAGTAAACTGAAAACTCATTGCCGTTGAGTTGCTTCCAACTCATAGTGACCCTATGAGACAGAGGAGTGGAACACCATAGGGTCTTTTTTTTTCCCCATAGGGTTTTCTATGCCTGAAATCTTTATGGGGGCAGACTGCCGTATCTTTCTCCTGTGGAGCCCCTGGGTGGGTTCAAACCTCCTTTCAGTTAGCAGCTGAGCGCTTTAACCAGTGCCACCAGGGCTCCTTCAAATCCTGGTACCACCATTTAAATAGCTATGTAATCTCAGACTATTTAATCTTTGTAGCTAACTTCCCTGTTGACAGAGTGGTGACAATTCCGAAATCAGATATGCAGAAATGTTTTGTAAACTGGAAGCTGCAGGCAAACAGAACAGAGTATTGGTCACCCTCAACGCCAGGTCTCTTGATAAGGGACAGGCCTGGGCCTCTTGTGATAGGTTCACAGATCTTTCTACATGCAGAAACAGGGCCAGAACAAAGCCTCTTCATGTATTTTTTGTATATTTGTGTGTTGTGTTTCTAAACTGGTGTTTTCATACCTGATCAGGGTTCACAGCCCCCTTGGGATCTTTGGTGGTGGATGATTCATAATTGTATCTGAGGCAGAAGTACACGGAAGGAAGAAAAGCATATAAAACCATGTCGTGGGGAAAAGGAGGTCCTCGGCGTTATGACAACTAGGCCTGAAGTAATCTGGAGAATCTAAGGGTCATCTCCAGGCTCCCCCTTTTCTCCTTGCTCTCAGCTTCCCTCCTCTACTCTGGGCACTGCACAGTTCAGCAAGCGTCACCAAGACCACACGCGCCTGATGGCTGCAGGGCTACTGGGGAAGCCCTCATCCAAGAGGAAAGAACTTACGCCAATCAGAGCAAAATACTAGGGCTTCAACCGGCTTACACAAAAGTACTTTAATTGACAGCATACAATTTCCAAAATATATTTTTTGTAAGAAAATGCAATAATTAACTGTAGTCTTTACAAACGAGTTTCTCAGTAAATTCCAGTGTACTTCAGACTCCTGTCCACTAAGACACATGCTCTCCCAGTCTCCCAGGCAAGCTGTGTTTAACATTCATTAATAACCAAAAGACCCACCTCAAATACTAACCTCCCCCCCTTTACTCCGTGTTGGGTTCTCAGAAGACCTGAGGAATCAGCTAGTGATGATATGCCGCTGCCTTGCCCTTGCCCCTGTGCCTTTCCGTCTTGTTCCCTTTGATCCTTAGCCCTGCTAGTAGAGGTTCCGTATGTAAAAGCTCCTTGGCAGAAAGGATTGCTCATTTAAGTCTTAGACCTAAGTGACCCAGAAGAAATGTGGAAGACCAGTAAGGTTCCTATTTTTGTCTTCATGTCCTCCCAAGCCCTGCTGTGGGGCAAGACTGGGGAAGGGAGCTCCATCCTTTGTGCTATTCTAGTGCCCATGAGGTGTTGTGTGCCGTCGAGTTGACTCCGACTCAGTAGAAGTGCCCCATAGGTTTCCCCATAGGAGGAGCACCTTCTCCCATGGGGCTGCTGAAGGGTTGGAACTGCCGACCTTTCAGTTAGCAGCCAGGCGCTTAGCCATTGCGCCACCAAGGCTCCTGTGCCTATGAGTAGCATCCTTCACTCATGGATTTCTTCTGAGGCACACAGCACTGGGCTGGCAGTCTGCGGACTCGGGTTTTTATCTTGTTTCTGCCACTTACCAGCCATGTGATTTTTGGCCAGTTCCTCTGTCTGGGCTTCAGTATCTGTAGAAGCAGCTAGCTGAGATCTCGGAGACTGCTCCCTGTGGCCAGAGCATCACTTTCTAACCAGCAAATGTTGACTCTAACCCTGGTGGCACTGCAGTCCCGCTCTGGCTGGAGAGGGCCAAGGGCCGTGATCCAAAACAAAAAGCCTGATCCACAAGACAAAGATTCCTCGTCAGCCTGTCTTGTTATAGTTCATTTTCCATTTTAAAAAAATCAAACAAAAACTAGTCATTTCTACTAAGATAGATATTTACATTCCTGTTCTAAGAAAAAGCTCAGCCATCTCTTAGCTAACAAATTTTTTTCAAAGTATATTCACTTTAAGCAGTGCATGGTGGATTAACATGTGGCCGTTGTATTTACATTATCAAAAATTGTGTGTGTGTATGTATATATACATATACATATGTATGTATATATCAGTTTGAACTTGATTTTCAGAGTCTCTCCAGTATACTGTTAAAAAGGATAATGCTCAAGAGGTGTTTTAAATAAACTTTCTGCTAGCTTTCCTCATCAAGAGGGGGGGAAAAAGAATCTTGCATCTAGCCTAGATTAAACCCGTATTCTGTTTTATGATGCAAAGAATATTCTGTACCTCCTTCATAAGCACTGCTGCTTCCCTGCCCGCTCACCCAACAGTGTGCTCCCTACTGGGTTTTGTCCAGATCACTGGCCTGTTACGCAGCTTAGGGAAACCAGTTTGCCACTGAAATAGTGTTCCTCATCTCTCTTTGGCACAACTTGTTCAAAATCTTGCTGAGTTCCTGGTGTCCCTCTTAGCCCTTCTCAGCCCCCGAGTCCAGACCATCAGGCAGCACTGAGAACCCAGGAAGGATGTGGGACAAGGACCTATAGGGCCTTTTGACACTGCTGTCTGAGTGGCAGCAGCCAGCCACAAGGGACTGGGTTCTGAAGCTGCCCTAAAGGCTGGCGTAGCACTGTGTGGCTGTACAAAGGGAAGGAACCTCTGCATCAGCCCAGGCTGCTCCAGATCATCCCTGGACAGAGCCTGAGCCACCATTCCTCTTCACCAGGCAGCATTTGTCCTCTCTAGTCCCCGCCCTCGTCACCTCTCTCCGACAAGCCATATTTGCTGTATGTCGACAACCCTGGCTGGTGAAATATGACCCCGATCAGCATGGGCAGAGTAATCCAGTCCACCTCTCCCACAGGGGCCATGACAAACCACTGGGTAGAAAGAGCCCCTGCTGGGCAGGGAAGAAGCAAACAAACAGCCCTCCTCCTAGCAAGATGCTACAAAAGATGCCCAAACCAGCACTGCTTCCAGTCCTGCCCGCCCTCCAAACGCTGCGGGGTCAGGGCAGATGCCTTTGGCTTCTTGTTAGCTTCACCTCTCTCAGGCAGCCAGGGAAGGACATAGATCCCCGCAACCCACTGTTTTTACAAATGAGCTATCCCAAAGTAGACAGCCTGTTTCATCAGAACTACCGCAGCCTCCAGTTTGCCTCGGAGACCACAGGGTTTTGGCTTTTTGTGCTGAAATGACCATTTTCATTCCCCCAAGCGGTTCTGCCCTTTCACCTAGTTTGTTAGACCGAATTTATGCCCAGAAACTCAGAGATGACCCCTGGGCCCAGGAACAACAGAGACCATGGCAAAGTTCAAAATTCCATGTAGGACTCCCCCTTGTCGGAAAATCAGACCCAAGTCTCACTCTGCCCAGGCCTCAGGCGCTAACGACTGGGCTCCGTCAGGAACCCCACACTGGGGAACAGTCATGTCTTTGTGTTTCTGAGAGGCCCAGAGGCTGCAGGAAAAGAAGAACAGCCCCACTAGGAATAGAGAGGGGACAAAACGGCAAGGCCTGGCCTGGCCGGGACAGTGAGGTGTCCCTGGGAGTGGACAGCCAGTCCCCAGGCTGTACCGCTGGCACCTGAGGAGCACACTGCACGTCTGGGCCTTTTCCCTGTGGCAGGAGAAGCACCATCCGTGAGATTAGCTAACTGAAAGCCTCCCAACAAGTTGAGCTTTGGCCTGTGGCAGTGGAGGGCTGGATTGAAAAACAAACAATAAAACTTCAGCAACTTGCAAGTCCCTGAGTTTCCTATGAAGTAAAGCCTATTCTCCCTGGCTGTGTGAGTCGACTGTTAAGACACATCTGTGCTGGCTGGGGGCCCCCGGGGAGGGTACGTTCCACTGCATCTCAGGGGGTTCCGGAGCCTGGTCTTCACCCTAGTGGCTGAGCAGTGAACAACAGGACACCTGGCTTTAGTGGTGACCACAGGTTTTAGTCCCTGGTGGGGATGCGAGCCTTCCAGAGTGCTGGGGTAGGAGCTAGACAGCTGGGGACCTGTTCATTACACTTTCAAGCAACCAGATCCCTTTGAGGCAGGATCTGGACCTGCTCTCCTGTCCCCTCATCTCCCTACTGGTGGTTTCAACCCTGTCCAGGGCCGCTCTGGCAAGAGGGTGCGAGTGGGTGCAGCGGCGTGGCTTGATGGAAACCAGCACCAGGCTGAGCGATAGGATCTTTGTCTTCATTCTGGCTGGCTCTGTCCCCAAGTGGCCGTGTGACCTTGGCAAGTCACTTACCCCTTTGGGCCTCAGTAATCTCATCTAAATGAAGGGACTCTACTAGATGATCTATACAGCCCCTCATGTGGCTCTTTATGGATCTCCCTTCTCATCTTCCAGCAGCACTGAGCTCAAGCACTAGTGGGTTATTTTGCAAGAGGAATCTAGACAGAATGTGATTTGTTCAGCTTGAAAAGGGAAAAATTAAGGCCCTGTGGGGTTTGGGAGGAGGGAGCCTTCAGAGTCCACCCTCCCTCCTCAGTCTTTTCCTCCTCCAATGGGAAGGACTCTTCCTCCCCGGTCCAAATGGCACTTTAGGTGGTAAGTCAGGAGCTCTGTGGCGCCATCAGAGGCAGCCAACAGACCTGATTAGAGGTGTGTGTCTTCCTCCTCATCCAGGTCATCCTTGGTCAGGTTGTCCAGAGGAACGATCCAGCTGTCCCCCAGCTCCCCATTGAGGCTGACCACCTTCTTCTCCTGCATCTCTGATGAGGTCTCCATCACTTCCAGCGTTGGGTTGTCATGGTAGCCGTTCTCCACGGTCTGCAGCTCCTCTGTCAGGCGTTGCTAGAGGAGGGAGGAGGACCCAGGGAGAAAGGGTAATGTTGGAGGGCTATTGGCCTTAGATGATCGACTTCTAAAACATCAGCCAATAAAAACCTTATGAAACACAGTTCTTCTGACACACAGGGGGTCTCCATGAGTCGGGGGCCAGCTCGACAGCAGCTAACAACAACACTGGCCTTGTCGTTGTTAGGTGCCGTCAAGTTGGTTCCAACTCATAGCGATCCTGTGTACAACAGAACAAAACACTGCCCGGTCCTGCACCACTGGCCTCAGATATGCTTAATATAATCCACGTATCCCTTCAACACTGGAACCCAAGTTTGGCTAATGTGGGCACTTGTGAGCAATAAATCACACGTGGATGCTGGCTGCTCCTGGAGGCCATGCTGGCGACTGGCCTGCCTCATGGCTAGTTTGAGGTAAAGACTAGCCCCACATCCTAAAATTCCCAGCTCACCTCACCTTCACCCTGGTGGCAAATGGGTAAAGTCAGTGGAAATGGACTTTGTTCTCCTCCAGAGTCCTCCAAGCTCTTTCTTCCTTCCTCCATTCCGTCCCCCAAACCTTCCTGTCTCTGGGCACTAACCTCAGCCCACCAGAGTGAATTGGGAAGGTCTGAAAACAGTGCCCCCAGATGGGGGAACTAAGAACCACTCTAAGCCTGAGCAAAAGAGGTACAGCGATCCCCAGGGCCGTCTCCACTCAGAGCAGCCACCTGGCCATAGTACTTTTTCCTTCTTTTTATCCGAGAGACAACCTTGGTTGCACACTACAATCACCTGGGAAGCTTTTAACAAATACACTGGTCCAGAGACTCCCCCTCTGTCAGTGTGTGGGGAAGCTACGTGTGGGGATTTTTTTAAGCCCCCTAAAATGTGCAGCAAGGGTTGGAACCACAGATTAGGTGGTGAACAGTAACGATGAGAATTCCATAAGGCAGGTGAGAGAATTTTGGTTAGACAGGCATGCCTGGGCCCACTTAGATCAATTAATCCTCAGAACAGTTCTGCAAGGTGGACATTGTTCCCCACTATGCAGATGAGGAACCTGAAGCTCCAAGAAATGACGTGACTCACCCACAGTCTCAGATAATAAGGGGCAGAGTCGGGCAGAAACCGTGTCTGACACCAAAGCCCGTGGTCTTCCCATCCAGCAAGTGGTGCCTCTGAGGGCCTGTGTGCCTGTCAGCAAGGGTCCACGGCCCACTCACTGTTCTCCTGTGTCACCTGGTGACCTGAGCTGTCCCCTGAGGAGAGGCATGCTCACCTGATCCTTCCTGTGGGAGAGGCGCTGGTGGCAGCAGCCGTAGAGGGCAGCGACGAGGAGCAGGAAGGAAGCCATGCAAACAATGGTGATGATGAGAGGCATGCTGAACCGGTCCTCGGCCTCCTCCGGGGGCCCGTGGTCCCCAAGCTGCATGTGACTAACCCCCACCTGGCCGGGAAGAAGAAAGTCATGTGGCAGAAAACAGGTTCTGGGGCACCCTTCTCTGCACTCCCACCCTTTTACAAGCGCTTCTGCTTGGGGTCTGCGGGTGCCTGTCCCACTGCCCTGTTTGCCCCTCTCTCACCCTCCTGTCTTCTAGATGTTTGCCCAGCTGAGAGACTGGAGCCAAGCAACTGTGGACGTCCCAGGGGGAGGCTCATGGCCCAGTCTGTCCCACCAAGTGGAAGGGGCCCACTTACCTCTTTTAAGTCGTCCCATTTGTCCTTCAACAACTCATAGGTGTCGTTGGAATGGAGTCTTGCTGTGGGAGAGCAGAGAGAGGTGCCACCTCACTGCTGTGGCCCAGAGTGAGGTGCTGGGGGTACAGACTGGGCCCCAGACTCTCCCAGGAACCAGAGGCCAGCTCGGGTGGCCCAGGAGGGAGAGGGACTAGACAATTCCTAGGCAACTGAGGGAGTAGCATCCCCAACCCGTCCTCTGACGTGGCCCCTGAGCCCCATGCCCCACTCCCACCCCACACAGGCTTCCGCTCCCCTTGCCCTCAACTCACTCTGGATGGAGATCTCCTTGACCGCCACGGCCTGGTCTCCTGGAACAGGTACCAGCAGTACGTGGCACTCATCTCGAGCTGGGATGAAGGAGGTTTTTGCTGCTTTGCATAGAACAGTGACCAATTTTTCAACCAGAGGATTCGCTGCCTATTGTGGGGAAACCACAGTTGATTCCTTGGGTCAGATAGCAGCCTAGGCTCACGGGGCCGCCTCCACGTGAGGTCAGAACGCTGTAACCTATCACCCTCTCCAACCTCAACTGGCGCCATTCCCGGCCTGCCAGGAGTCCCGCGTTAGGTGCTTTCCCCAGGCTGCAGAGTTCTGATCTCTCCCTGCCCTCGCCCTGTTTATCTTGTCTATGGTGGGACAATACCTTTCACCCTCATACGCTTTCTCTCTGTCAGAGTTCTTAAGGATCAGCACTTTCCACTTCCTGTTCTAGCAAAGGAAGGCAAACGCCTCTCACAACCAGCCCACAACCTGCCAAGATTTAGCCAAAAGAGTGCCTGAGGGGAGGCTGGGCAGCAATCTCCACTATGATTTCTGTGTGTCCAATAAGCCCAACCCCAGGAGAACACCACTCCCTTTTAAAACTCTAGTCTAAATATGCTTTTGTAAAGTTTACTTGGAAAATGCCAGAAATGGACATCCAAAAGAAAAAAAAAAACATGCAAGAGATCCAGGCAGCATTATAGTGTCCAAGTTCTCTGTCCTATGGAAACCACATTCTGGTCTACTCTCAGTCCCTGGAGAAGGACATCATGCTTGGTAACCATGAAAAAGAGGAAGACCCTCAACGAGATGGATTGACAAGTGGCTGCAACAACAGGCTCAAGCATAATGATTATGAGGATGGCGCAGGAGCGGGCGGTGTTTTTTCTGTTGTACACAGGGTCGCTGTGAGTCAGAACCGACTGGATGGCACCTAATAACAACAGTAAAAACCCCTGTTGCTGACGAGTCAATTCTGACTCATAGCGACCCTACAGGACAGAGTAGAAATGCCCCATAGGGTTTCCAAGGAGCAGCCAGTGGTTGTGTGAACTGTCGACCTTCTGGTTAGCAGCCTGAGCTCTTAACCACTGCACCACCAGGGCTCCAGTGGCGGCTGCAAAAATAAACACTGGCCAGCAGAGGGCAGCAGTGAGCCATCCATCACCTGCACTCCAGGGCTCCCAACTATTTCCACACATGGTGCATCCCCAGACTACAGCCCGTCATCTCTGGAAGACTGGGTAGGCTGAAGGCTGCTGCACACCTCTCTCATACAAATGTACTCCCACACATGCGTCTGCACACACACACACACCCCACCCAGAGTAGAACTGTTGGCAATGATTCCCTTGGGCTCTCACTCAAAAGTACCAGTGAAAAAAAGCAGTGACCCCATGTGTGTGTGAGTACAATTGTGTTCCATAAGGTTTTCAATGGCTGGTTTTTTGGAAGTAGATTGCCAGCCCTTTCTTCTGAGGCACCTCTGGGTAGACTCAAATAGCCAACCTTTCTGTTAGCAGCTGAGCATGTTAACTGTTCACACCACCAGGAACTCCACTCAGAAGCACCCAGGCTGTTCTCTCCCAGACTCCTCAGGTTGGAAGTAAATTCTCTCCACCTGGTCTTCCTAGGAGGCTGTCAGCTAACACCTGGGCCAGGAAACCTAAAACCACAGGCTGTTAGACTCTCGTTTTCAGAAGCCTCTGAAGTCCAAGGAGATCAATTTGCCAAAGTCACACCCTGAATCAGGATCAGGGTCTCCCAGACCACTGAGTAGGTACACAGTGAATGTGAGGAGACTGGGTGCTCCTTCTGGCTCTGCAGCAGCCCCGTGGGTGACCCTGCTCAGAGGAGCCAGAACTTCATGTTGTCACTCCAGCTGCTGGGAAGGGGCCTCCCCACCAGGAAGAAACAAGGGCAGGGCAATGAACACACCTCTCACCCCCTTTTTAGAAGAGACACCTCATCCCCCTGCACCTTTCTCAGCCCTGCCTTCAGGGAGCGGAGGAGGTACCAGTTCAGGAGGTACTCACGCAGGGGATGGCCTTGGTGAAGTTCAGGATGAGCATGTTCCCATCGGGATTTTGGGGGGCCTCGCACGTTACCTGGAAGAAGCCACTGGAGTCAGGGTTCAGGCTCAGCCTGGCAGGGCCTGTCTTTGACTTGTCCCTCCCCCTAGGCGGGTGAAACTGAAAGAGAGGTGTTCAGGGCAGCTGGGTCGTGGCTGGGCCAGAGTTTCAAAGCCGGGAAGGCCACTGGCTGCCCAGCGGTCTAAGACAGAATGAGCAAAGCCAGGGACCCCTGCTTCTGCAGTGCCAGTGAGGGGCCTGCATGGAGGGGAGAGCAGAGGTGCCCTTCCTGAAGCCCCCTAGTCCGTCCCATCCTTGCTGGAATTACCCTGTTACTCCCAACAGCTAAGGTGTGCGAAGAGGTGTTAGACCCTTGAGGGGCGGTCGGAGCTGGCAGCTTTGGGCTGGAGCTGTGTGTTCCTGGGACGGGCTGCGTGGCTTTGGGGCCCGGGGAGGGGCCTGCCGGCTGTGGTGCCACGGAGGCAGAGGTCCCAGTGAGGGCTGGCCCCTCGCTGAGGGTCGGCCCCTTGATGAGCGTCGGCCCCTCGCTGATGGTCGGCCCCTCGCTGACGGTGGGCCCCTCGCTGACAGTCGGTTTACTTCCTCGGGTGGGAACCGACGATGCTGTGACTGGGAAGACAAAGGGTGTAAGAAGAGGTGAGTGGTGGCCCGGTGGTCTGTTCTTCTAACAGGTCTCTGTTCTTCAGTCTTATCCCACCGAGATAAGCTGGAATGAGCAGGCTCTGAGGAAGAAGACGCAGAATCGAGGAAGAGGGTTCCTGTCATATATGACAGGCTAGGTCAGCCTGGACGAGTCATTGTAAGAACCGGGCAAAGGAAATGACAATGACAGCAGCAATAGCCGCCACTGACTGAGCACTTACTCGGCTCCCTCGGCTGCGCCAAGGGCTGCAAATGTGCTTTCTTATTTAATCCTCACAACAACACTCCTGTCTTAGAAACAAGGAAACTGAGGCTCAGAGGGGCTACATGGTTTGCCCAAGGTCACATGGCAACAAGGGACAAAGCAGGGATCTGAATCCAGGTCTGGATGTGAATCCAACTCAGAGCCCAGCTCGTACTGCAGGATGCTGCCACCCTCTTCTAGTGCTGGTAACCAGCTGCCTTCGAGTCATTTCCTACTCATGGCAACCCCACGTGTGTAAGAGTGGAACTGTCCTCCATAAGGTTTTCAATGACTGATTTTTTGGGAAGTAAATCTCCAGGCCTTTCTTCTGAGGTCCCTCTGAGCAAACTCGAGCCTCCAACCTTTTGGTTAGCAGCTGAACATGATGGTGGGATGGAGAGAAGGAGGGAACAAGCACTGCCCCCCACCCCCAGGAAAAAGGTGGGGGTTATCTCTGAAGTGCCCCGTCCTAGGAGGGGCTGGCTCAGGGCTTTGTGATGGGTGAAAGGAGAGTGGGAAGAGAGAAGACTGGACATGGGAAGAAGGGCGACGGCTGGACGCTCCGCCCAAGCCCTTGGAGCTGCCCTAGTGGAAGGTAAAGGCAGAGGAAGTTGGCTCAACTGGAGGAAGAAGTGGCCAAGAGTCAGATCTGACTCACAGGTGGATGGGCCAGCCCAGGAGGCAGGGACCACCCAGGGACTCCTTCTGGTACAGCCCTCTGTTCACTTCAGGACGCCTCAAAATTACCTGGGGAGCTTGAAAAAAATGCAGATTCTCAGGCTCATGCCCAGAAATTCTGATTCAAAAGATCTGAGCTGGGCCATGCTCTTGAAGTCCATGATCCATCAGCAGGTTTTAAAAATAATTTACTGGGTTAAGACCAGCACTTTAAAAAAGGAGATGGAATAAAATAGAAGATATCAGGGCACATCACATGGAGAGAAGGTTTCAGTCCTGTTTTGTGAAACTTTTCTTTCAGTTATGTGTGTGGTCCATGCGTGGGGTGAGTGTGTCCTGGATCATGAGATAAAATCTGAAATGTATCTTATTGTGGGTTGCTGTCAAATTTGTTTGAGAAATATTGTTCTAGAGTTCTACCATTGGGGGCAGCGGTGGTTCAGTGGTAGACTTCTCGCCTCCCACACGGGAGACCAGGGTTCAATTCCTGACCGTTGCACCTCATGGGCAGTCACCACCCATCAGTGGAGGCTCGCGTGTTGCTATGATGCGCAACAGGTTTCAGCAGAGCTGCAAGATTAAAAGGGACTAGGAAGACAGCCTGGCAATCTCCTTCTGAAAATCAGCCAGTGAAAACCCTATGGATCCCAACAGTCCGATCCACAGCCGATCATGGGGATGGTGCAGGACCGGCCAGTGTTTTGTTCTGTTATGCATGGGGTCACCTGAGTCAGGGGTGACTCGACAGCAGCAGCAACAACCCAGTACCACAGCACCCAGAGTCTTACCATGAATAGACTGTTGGTGGGTTTATGTGCTAAACTGGGCAGCGCCATTCAGCCCTCATCAGAGCACGCAGCACTGGGCCTCTGCTCATCGTTGAAATGGGGAACAAGGTCTGAATGAAGGTGAAGTGTATTCATAATGTTTAACCCTCAGCATAAATCTCCATCTTCCAGTGGAGCAATTATATTAAATATGAGCTTTTAAAAGTTCCTTCTTGCTTGGGGAAAAAAAAAAAGAACAAGGCATGACTTACTTGGTGTGGCAGGTGTCGCCTGAGCTGTGACAGGTGTCACCTGAGCTGTGACATCAGGACTAGTCACAGGACTTGAGCCTGGAAATACAGCAGCTGTGGGTTGTTTTTTAGGAAACTCTGAGGGCTTCAAAATAGCAAGGCTCCCAGATGATGGGGGAGGGCTTGACGTGATGGTCAAAGAAGTAGGAGCAGGTGTGTTTTCTGAAGTGCTAACTTGACTTGGAGATAAAGGGGTCGTCTGAACTGTTTTATCAGTGGTCATGGAGGCTGCAGTAAGGTTCTGGCTACTTCCGTCTCCAGAAGTATTTGCATCTGTGACTAAATTCTGGCTGCCTGTGGTTCCAGTCTTAGGTGGGGTGGTGGTTCTTGACTGTGTAGGGCCGCCTGATTGTGTGTATGAGTCACTGGCACGAGTGCTGCCTGGGGTTGGATACACCGTTGTGTTACTGTGGCTTGGATCTTGGGATGTCGGGGTTAGGGTTGGAGCCACTGTTGAGGTCTTCTCACTGGGCGTTGTACTTGGTCCCTCGCTGACGGTCGGTTTACTTCCTCCGGTGGGAACCGACGATGCTGTGACTGGGAAGACAAAGGGTGTAAGAAGAGGTGAGTGGTGGCCCGGTGGTCTGTTCTTCTAACAGGTCTCTGTTCTTCAGTCTTATCCCACCGAGATAAGCTGGAATGAGCAAGCTCTGAGGAAGAAGACGCAGAATCGAGGAAGAGGGTTCCTGTCATATATGACAGGCTAGGTCAGCCTGGACGAGTCACTGTAAGAACCGGGCAAAGGAAATGACAATGACAGCAGCAATAGCCGCCACTGACTGAGCACTTACTCGGCGCCCTCGGCTGCGCCAAGGGCTGCAAATGTGCTTTCTTATTTAATCCTCACAACAACACTCCTGTCTTAGAAACAAGGAGACTGAGGCTCAGAGGGGCTACATGGTTTGCCCAAGGTCACATGGCAACAAGGGACAAAGCAGTTGGCCCCTCCTTTGTGTGCTCTGTATCTGGGCATTCGCTGCCTGGGGCTGAAGCTCCTTTTGCATCACTGGATGCTGTAGATGTGCTTTGTGGCTCAGCTGTTGTTGCAAGTGGACTGACGCTACCACTGAACTGTGCTGTTTACAAATACAACACAGAATCAAGTTAGCGTGTTAGCTACAAGTGTTTCCTCCACGTGTTTCCTCCACACCTGTGCAACTCTTCCCCACAGCTCAGAGGCCTGGCTCCCACCCCTTGCCATCTGGCTCACCAAAGGCCAGATTCTTCACAGTTCAAAGCACTTCTAGGAGGCAAGTTGAGAGTGAAGCAGGGGCAGTAAAGGAAGATTCTACACGTCCCCTTCACATTTTTGAATATACCACCACAGAACCATGCCACCAAGTTAACCCCTGCCTCTGCCTCCCCAGCTCCTACACGGCATGACAGAAGAGCCAACACACGCATGCATACTGAACTACACAGGCGCTACGCTAAGCTTGGGCTCTGTTCTCAGCAAACGCATGTGCACTGATCTACGCGGGCCCTGCTCTAAGTGTGGTCTCTGTTCTCACGAAGTTACCATCCAGAATGAGAACTGGGAACACACTGAAATTACATGAATTACTGTTTAAGTACAATTAATTGTGAGAAGTGCTAAGGAAGAAAAGCACAGCATGCTTTGGCTGTGTTTAGCATGGTAACTTAACCTTGTCAGGGGTCATGGAAGGAAGGCCTTTTATTCATTAACTCAACAAAACATGTACCAGGGGAGCCTTTTTGTGACAGGTATGTGACAGTCGGGCCCTGGGGAAGCAAGACAGATCTAATCCCTGCCCTCATGGAGCTTACATTCTCTCCTGGAACTTACATTCTAGGAAGGAGACATACATTAATGTAAACAACTGGACAGCAATTAAATGTCAAATTGTGGCACTTATCACAGAAACGATATAGAGAAAAAGAGGGGGAGAGAGAATATTTAGATAGAGAGGCAAAGAAAAGCATTTTAGAGATGCCAAGCTAAAACTTGAAGGATTAGGGGGAAAAAAAAAAAACCCACTGCTGTCGAGTAGATTCCGACTCACAGTGACCCTATAGGACAGAGTAGAACTGCCCCATAGAGTTTCAAAGGAGTGCCTGGTGGATTCAAACTGCCAACCTTTTGGTTAGCAGCTGTAGGTCTTACCCACTACGTCACCAGGGTTTCCACTTGAAGGGTAAGAAGGAGAAAGCTGTGAAGAATGCAAGGAAAAGTGTACCAGGCAGAAGGAACAGAACCTACAAAGGTCCCAAAGCAGGAAAAGGAAGAAAGAGAAGATAAGTAGGAACAGAGCTTAGACAGTTGTTACCTACTTCACACTGTGTCACCATTCTCACCATCTCTGCCCATATTGTTTCACCACCATTAACTCAGACTCTCTGCCCCTTAAAGTTCTCATCTGTGCTTTAGAATTACTGGGTCATTTTGATCTCATTAGGTAATTCTTTAAAAGGGTGCAATGCTCAAGCAAACATTACTTATTGAGCTAAACTGTTGTTTAATTTAAAGATGACTTCATGAGCTAGTTTTGGTTCAAGGTTTAAAAGTTATCTGCAAGCAATAGATTGGGGGGTTCCTCCAGTCTCAATGTACCCAGTAAGTCTATAAACCAAACATTTTTTAGAGAAAAAGGAAGGTCTCTTTAAAATCATATCCTAGGTAGATCACCCTCTTTATAGGCCAAAATAAGGCTTTTGGATTATATTCTCAGTGCAAAAGAAGCCACCAAAGGCTTTAAAGCAAGGAAGTTGTAGAAGGTGATTTACAAAGAAACTCATTCCTGCTGCTTTTGTGAGATGTGGATTGGAAGGAAGAATGGGAAGACAGGAAGTTACTTGAGTAATCCAGATAAACAGATAATGGTTGGTCTATTAAGTTATTGACTAGAGATGAATTAAGGATGGACTCAAGATTGTATTTTGGAGATAGAATCAACTACTTGCTGATGTAGTTAAGTGAGGGGAAGGAGAGAATCCAGGAATTCAGGAAATCACTCCTGGGTTTTTGTCTTGAACAAAAGAGAGCGGTAGAGAGGGATGGAGTGGACCTTCGCCATTCTTTGCAGTCAATCAGAATCGATACCATTTTTCTATGTTTGAGGAATTCCCCACCCAATATGACTTGGTAGCAGGAGAATTTGCCTCCTAGCATAGAAGTTGGAAATGCCAGCTATTTGCTTTTAAAGCCTCCCTTGCAAATGGAGCAAAGCATGTGACGAAGCTGCCGCGAATGAGACACTCCCATCCCAGCTAGTGAGCCAAGAGGCAGTGAGTGTGAGAAACGCTGATGGCAGCAGCAGTAAAGCCATGCTCAAGTTCAAGCAGCAGTGAAGCGACGCTACAGCAGTGCCCACAGCCAGAGACACAGCACCTAGTGCTTGGCATTGGGGGGCGGGGCTGGTCTTTTTGAACCAGTTCTCTAGCCTGACATGGGTGATATTAAAGTAGCCCTGGAAAAGGACTTGAATAGACATTTCTCCAAAGAAGAAATTCAAATGGTCAATAAGCACATGTACACCATCAGTTATTAGCAAAATACAAATAAAAACCACAGTGAGATACCACTTCAGATCCACTAGGAACGCTATTATCAGAGAATGGAAAATAACAAGTGTTGGCAAGGATGTGGCGACATTGTGCACTGTTGATGGAAATGTAAAAATGGCATAGCTGCTGTGAAAAACAGTTTGGCAGCTGCTCAAAAAATTAAAGATAGAATACCTGTGACTCAGCAATTCCACTCTTAGGTATATACCTGGAAGACTTGAAAGCAGAGACTCAAACATACACTTGTACAACAATATTCACAGCAGCGTTCTTCACAATAGCCAAAAGATGGAAACAACTCAAGTGTCCATTAACAGACAAATGGATAAACAAAAGGTGGTATATCCATATAATGGAATACTATCCATAAAAAGAAACGAAATTCTGACACATGCTACAACATGGAGGAACGGTGAAGATGTTATGCTAAGTAAAGTAAGCTATACACAAAAGGACAAATATTGGCTGATTCCACTTATATGAGGTACCTAGAATAAATAAGCAAATTCATAGAAAGTAAAATAGAGATTACCAGAGGCTAAAGGAAGGGAATAATTATTTTTAATGGGCATAGAGTTTATGTTTGGGATGACAAAAAAGATCTGGAAATAGACAGTACTGATGGTTACACAACAGTGAGAATGCACGTTAACACCAACGAACTGTGCACTCAAAAATGGTTAAAATCATAAATTTTATGTATATTTTACACAATTAAAAAAAAAAAACGTAGCCCTAGACATGGTCTCCAGTGATTCCAGCTACTCCATAAACTAGACAATACTTCAGTATCCTACACACACACACACACACACACACACACACACACACACACACACACACACTCATATTTCGCTACTGAGAAGTAAAAACTTGTATCAGGAGTGGTTACAGGCAAGAGGACGTCAAGGATTAGTTATCAGGCCTTACTGGGGCTAAGGGCAGTTGGAAGTCTGGTATCCTATGGTATCTTGTGGGGAGCGGTCACATTATCACCTATCATCTAGAATGAAGGGCCTATGATGTGGCTTTGTAGGGGCTGAGTGCTTCATGCCGCTTCTGTTGAAGAGCATGAAGGACACAGATGCCAAGATATGTGTTAAGATCAACGTTGTACTACGGTTTCTATGTTTTATGAACACTGTAGTTCATAAAATAATGGTGCATCTTATAAGTGATGGAGTCGTAGAATCTGTTTGATAAAAGGCACTAGACTGCTGAGGAAAATATCAGCATATTTGAGGAACTGAGGAATTTAAGGGATATGGAGTGGGATGGTTGCTTCTGACAGTGGTGAGTAGCTTAAATCAGGGCTTCTCACTTAGCACTACTAACTTTGGGCTGGAAAATTCTGTGTTCCGGAACACCCTATGGTGTACACTTGGGGTCGCCATGAGTCAGAATCAACTCAATGGCAATTAACAATTCTGTGTTGTGGGGGGCTGTCTTGTGCATTGTGGGATATTTAGCAACATACCTGGCCTCTACCCATGAGATGCCAGTAACACACACACCGTCCCCAGTTGTGATGACCAAAAATGTCTCCAAAAATTATCAAATGTCCCCTGGGTGGGGGACAGGGGAGACAAATGCATCATTATAGTGGCTGCTAATCGAAAGGTCAGTGGTTTGAACCCACCAGCTGCTCTGCAGGAAACAGGCAGTCTGTTTCCATGAAGATTGACAGCCTTGCTGTAGGGACCATGGTCTCAGGGAACATCTAGCTCAATTGGCATAACATAGTTTATAAAGAAAATGTTTTCCGTTTTACTTTGGTGAGCAGCATCTGGGGTCTTAAAAGCTTGTGAATGGCCATCTAAGATACTCTATTGGTCTCATCCCATCTAGAGCAAGGAAGAATGAAGAAAACCAAAGACACAAGGGAAAGATTAGTCCAAAAGACTAACGGACCACAACTACCACAGCTTCTACCACGCCGAGTCCAGCACAACTAGATGGTGCCCAGCTACCACCACCAACTGCTCTGACAGAGATCCCAACAGAGGGTCCCA